TCCTTTCTAGCACTTCGCATGGCTTTCCTTGTTTCTTAGTCAGCATGGTGTTGTCCATGATGCAAGTCAACAAAAGAGTTCACTCAATGGGCTGCTTTTCCAGATTTGCCTGGCAATATTCCAACATAGTATTTAGAAATGTATGTGGGTTACTGGTGACATCTAGTGGGACTGGATAAGATTGCTGGAGGGGAACAAAGGGGACCAGCTCCCTTGGAGGATGGGCTCTCCATGTTATTCTGTTTCGGAATACAAAGGAAAAGGGTGGGATCTGGTGACACCTTTAATGGCCATTCATTTTAGCGAGGTCTTGCTGGATTTCAATGCTACACGGATGAAATGTGAGATTCAAGCTACAATAATTTAACCCCAATTTTCTTACCTGAAATGAATATTTTTGGGCTCCTATGGTCAGCATACCATAGATTCATGCGAGAGAACCTAGAACCTAGACCTCTGAGGAAGCTTGCCATAGATGCAGGCGAAACGTCAGGAGAAATGCCTCTAGAACATGGCCATATAGCCCGAAAAAACCCACAAGAACTGAGCGATTCCGGCCATGAAAGCCTTCGACAATACATTGAACCTAGAAATGTCTATAGAAGTGCTTTCTCTAGGCCTCCAGTTCAAACCTAGGGTTACATGCTTAATTATTTAAACACATGTTACCTGTTCCCATGAAATGATGGCGTGGCGCTCGGCTGGTTCCTTCTCTATGAACATCACTTCAGAAACTCCTGGAGATGCTTCTGCAAAAAAAAAAAAGAAAAGAAAAAAAGGTGGACACTAAGAACATTGAAAGTATATGAGCAAATATGGGTTGCCAGGCTGAAATTTCAGCCCAAACCTCATGAAATGTTGGTCACGTTGCAAAGGGCAGCCTTGGGTGATAGAAGTATGCATGGTATATGAAGCTCCAGCCACAGCTGCACCAAAATACTGGAAAGGCACCAGATCCCATCTCACCAATGATACTAATATAATAATAATAGCAATACTGGGTTGTTGTATGTTTTTTTTGGGCTATATGGCCATGTTCTGGAGGCATTTTCTCTTGACATTTCTCCTGCATCTATGGCAAGCATCCTCAGAGGTAGTGAGGATGAATGTTCACTACCTTTGAGGATGCTTGCCATAGATGCAGGCGAAACATCAGGAGAGAATGCCTCCAGAACATGGCCATATAGCCCGAAAAACCTACAACAACCCAGTGATTACGACCATGAAAACCTTCCACAATGTAATAGCAATACTATTGATTGGAGCCCCTGGTGGTGCAGTGGGTTAAACTGCTGAGCTGCTGAACTTGCTGATGGAAAGGTCGTAGGTTCGAATCCGGCGAGCGGGATGAGCTCCTGCTGTTAGTCCCAACTTCTGCAAAACTAGCAGTTTGAAAACATGCACATGTGAGAAGATCCATAGGTACCACTTTAGAGGGAAAGTAACAGCACTCCATGCAGTCATGCCGGCCACATGGCCTTGGAAATGTCTATGGACAATGCCGGCTCTTCGGTTTAGAAATGGAGATGAGCACCATCCTCCAGAATCGGATACTACTAGAGTTAATGTCAAGGTGAAACCTTTATTGATTTATTTATTTGCAGCATTTGTAGCCCACCTTTCTCAGCCTTGTGGCCACTCAAGGCACTCACAAAAATAGCAATTTGAGTGCCATACATTCATAAAAATACAGTTAAAAACATTCAACTCAATATTAAAAAGCATATATAAACCACTTAAAAACATATAATCACTGATGTCGTCCTGTTAAAATCATTATCCAGCAGCATCGTCCAGCCATTCCATGTTCATTCTTCCTATTTCATTGTTACTTATTCCGCTGCACATCCAAACGCTTGTTTAAAAAGCCAAGCTTTTACTCTTTTTTTCCGGAAGGACAGGAGGGAAGGGGCCGATCTAATATCCCTAGGGAGGGAGTTCCACAGCCTTTACCGTTACCTTTAGCAATACTATATATTTCAGAGGAAATAACTGGCAAAGTTCTACCCTAAGAAAACATTATGAAATTAATGGGGTCCCTATAAGTCCACAAGAAAGGAGATTCCATCTGAATATGAGGAAGAACTTCCTGACTGTGAGAGCCATTCAGCAGTGGAACTCTCTGCCCCGGAGTGTGGTGGAGGCTCCTTCTTCGGAAGCTTTTAAACAGAGGCTGGATGGCCATCTGTCAGAGGTGATTTGAATGCAATATTCCTAATTCTTGGCAGAATGGGGTTGGACTGGATGGCCCATGAGATCTCTTCCAACTCTTTGATTCTATGATTCTATAAGTGATGTGAACTGATGTATACACTGTTGTTATGAAGAAAGCTAATAGAAAAAGATTCAAATCTGAGAATGGGGAAGAGTTCTGCAGATACTGTAAACAGCTCGCAGAATTCTATGGTTTTTTGATTCTGACTTGTATTGACCTTCATCTAGGGCAGTGGTTCTCAACCTGTGTTTTGGCCTACAACTCCCAGAAATCCCAGCCAGTTTACCAGCTGTTAGGATTTCTGGGAGTTGAAGGCCAAAACATCTGGGGACCCACAGGTTGAGAACCACTGGTCTAGGGTTCTCTTGTTGGGATGTGTTCCATGAATCATAGAAACATAGAATCATAGAGTTGGAAGAGATCTCATGGGCCACCCAGTCCAACTCCCTGCCAAGAAGCAGGAAAATTGCATTAAAGCACCCCTGACAGATAGAATCATAGAATCATAGAGTTGGAAGAGACCTCATGGGTCATCCAGTCCAACCCCTTTCTGCCAAGAAGCAGGAATACTGCATTCAAAGCACCCCCGACAGATGGCCATCCAGCCTCCATTTAAAAGCTTGCAAAGAAGGAGGCTTTACCACACTCTGGGAGAGTTCCACTACTGAACAGCTCTCACAGTCAGGAAGTTCCTCCTAATGTCCAGATGGAATCTCCTTTTTTGTAGTTTGAAGCCATGGCTCCATTGGGTCCTAATCTCCAGGGAAGCAGAAAACAAGCTTGCTCCCTCTTCCCTATGACTTCCTCTCACATATCTACACATGGCTATCATGTTTCCTCTCAGCCTTCTTTTCTTCAGGCTAAACATGCCCAGCTCTTTAAGCCGCTCCTCATAGGGCTTGTTCTCCAGACCCTTGATCACTTTAGTCGCCCTCCTCTGGACACATTCCAGATTGTCAACATCTCTCTTCAATTGTGGTGCCCAGAATTGGACACAGTATTCCAGATGTGGTCTGACCAAAGCAGAAATAGAGCATGTGTAGCATGATTTCCTTGGATCTAGACACTAGACACCTATTGATGCAGGCCAAAATCCCATTGGCTTTTTTTTTGCTCATGTTGGCTCATGTTTAACTTGTTGTCCACAGTTTGCCCTTGTCTTTTGTGCATTTTCACGACTGAGTGGAGTCCTAGTCTGGCCCTTATGTTGTCTCTCAAATAGGTAAACAAACTGCAGCTGCCATCACATCTCAGCATTAGCTGCTTATGGGCAGTGGGACTTATTATTATTATTATTATTATTATTATTATTACTTGCAACTTAACAATGGCTTTCTAAAGCTCCGATGGATGCCAAATACTGCAGCAAACAGCAGAGTCCCCTTGTATGTTGGATTCTGGCTTGTGAATGCTGAAAAAGTAGGCTGGGAAGCGAGAGGGAAGGGATGGAAATGTCACCTTCTCATTTCATACCTGCCTTTTCCGCATGGTATGCAAAGGGCTCTCTGCTCTACGTGATCTCCTTTTTGCCCCCGGGATATTTTTAATCTAACATTCAGGCTGTTAAAAGGAGAATTTCCTCGTTTGATCTAGGATTTGGTTCAGCCCCCTTTAGAGCCTCATCCTTTGACACCTTTGCGTGTGACTCACGCAATATCCAGCCTCCCTCCGTCCAAGTTCGCTTACTTTTTCTTTGATCTCGGCAGAGCCAAATTTATTCTGTTTATAATTTGCTGGATGGTTAAATGCCTTCTGCGAAACTTGGGTGATTGGTCGCCACATAAAGGAAATATATATTGGCCGGAACTAAATGATTTAGGCGTGAACCCAAGGAAGGCGCGTGCTGGAGAAATGTTATGCAGGCAGCCAAAGGGTCTGAACTAAATGACCTAAGTGGATTTTCCCCATCTTTACCTTTGATGGTTCAAAGGGTTCCCGACGGATGAGGTTCGGATAGTGATCAGTACCTTTGCATTTTCCGGACAGACCTGGCACTTGCCCTCTGGATATCTCCCCACTGTACTTTCCTATACTGCTATTCTCCTGCCCTAAAATGAATATATTGGTGACTAGATGAGGAAAGTGCTCAGAAAACCACACTAGTGTATACTGAATCTGTGAGTAATTTGTTTTCTTGTCAGGAGCGACTTGAGAAACTGCAAGTCACTTCTAGTGTGAGAGAATTGGCCCTCTGCAAGGATGTCTGCCAAAGGACACCAGGATATTTTGATGTTTTACCAGCCTTGTGGGAGGTTTCTCTCATGCCCCGCATGGGGAGCTGGAGCTGACAGAGGGAGCTCATCTGCACTCTCTCCAGACTCGAACCTCTGACCTGTTGGTCTTCAGTCCTGCCAGCATAAGGGTTTAACCCATAGCACCACTGGGTGTTCCTTATCTGTAAGTCATAACATTGCTTAAAGTGGCACCTTAAAAACCCAACTTTAATTTAGAATCCTTCTAATTACTTCTCTCTCTCTCAGGTGGCACAATTTTTGAAACTTCATTTCAAAAATGCAAAATCTAATATCAATGAACCATTGCAAGATTTGGCAGAAAAACAAGGCACCTCTCACTGTAGAATTAGAATCATAGAGTTGGAAGACACCTCATGGGCCATCCAGTCCAACCCCATTCTGCCAAGAAGCAGGAAAATCACATTAATGCAGCTTGAGCTGCCATGGCTCAATGACATGGGAATTGTAGTTTTACAGTTTTTCACTTTCTATTCCAAAGTACCTCATCAAACAACACCACGTGTGATTCTATAGCACTGAACCATGGCAGGTAAAGGTTTCCCCATTGACCTTAAGTCTAGTCGTGTCTGACTCTGGGGGTTGGTGCTCATCTCCATTTTGATGCTGAAGAGCCGGCATTGCCCATGGACACCTCCTAGGTTATGTGGCCAGCATAACTGCATAGAGCCTTGTTACCTTCCTGCCAATGTGGTACCTATTGATCTACTCAAATTTGCATATTTTCAACTGCTAGGTTGGCAGAAGCTGGGCCTAACAGTGGGAGCTCACCCCACTCCCTGGATTCAAACCGGCAACCTTTCAGTCAGCAAGTTCAGCAGCACAGCAGTTTAACCCGCTGTGCCATCAGGAGGCCCATGACAGTTAAATCATTGTAAAACTGAATTACTTCTGCAATTCCCAGCAATCCTTCTGATCGATCGATCGATCTACCTATCTATCTCTATCTAATCTATCTATCTATCTTATCTATCTCGAGGATTGCTGAGAGTTTCAGTCCAGGAATATGAAATTGGAAACATGCACGTATTGTCGTTTAGCTTTTTTGGTTCTTAAGTCCTTTCTGCTGTTTTTTTTGGGTGGGGTGGTGGTGGTGATGAGTGATGGTCACTCATTGGTCTGTTAAGGGTGTAGTGTCCAAATTTTGTGTCAATTCGTCCAGTGGTTTTTCAGTTATGTTAAACCCACAAACTAACATTACATTTACATATATATATATATACTAGCGGTCCCCTGCCATGCGTTGCTGTGGCCCAGTCTGGTGATCTGGAAAATAAAGTAATGAGAAAGTGTTGGTTTCTAATGTATGTAATGACTTTCTGCTTGTGGGTAAACAGTATTTTTTGCTGTTTCTTTGCCAGTGTTGATGTGGAAATTGTCTGGTTTTCCTACTCTAGAAAATGTCCTTCTTTAGGGGGTCCCTTTCAAATCTTTGATACTGCATCTGTCATATACGTGTGTGTGTGTGTGTGTGTGTGTGTGTGTGTGTGTGTGTGTAAATGGCTGGATGGCCCTTTGTCAGGAGGGCTTTGATTATGTTTTTTTGCCCTGGTGAAGGGAGCTGGATTGTATGGACTTAAGGCAGCATTTCTCAACCTGGGAAGTCAAGACTTCCCCGGGGGGGGGGGGGTCGCCAGGGGGGTGTCAGAAGGGTCACCAAAGACCACCAGAAAACATAGTATTTTCTATTGGTCATGGGGGTTCTGTGTGGGATGTTTGGCCCAATTCCATCGTTGGTGGAGTTCGAAATGCTCTTCGGTTGTAGCTGATCTATAAATCCCAGTAACTACAACTCCCAAATGTCAAGGTCTATTTCCCCCAAACTCCACTGAGTTCACATTTGGGCATATTGAGTATTCCTGTCAAGTTTGGTCCAGATCCATCATTGTTTGAATCCACATTGTTCTCTGGATGGAGGTTAACTACAATTCCAAAATTCAAGGTCAATGCCCACCAAACCCTTCTAGAGTTTTCTGTTGGTCAGGGGCATCCTGTGTGCCAAGTTTGGTTCAATTCCATTGTTGGTGGAGTTCAGAATGCTCTTTATTTATTTATTTATTTATTTATTATTTATTTACTTTGCTTATATACCGCTGTTCTCAGCCCGGGGCGACTCACAGCGGTGTACAACATAGAAAGAACAAGGTTCAAAATTCAAGACACAATCTAAAACATCATCATCATCAAAAACATCAACAATATCAATAATACAACCAGCCATTCACGTCGTCTCATCGTTAAACCACAATCCAGTATCATTTTCCGTTGTTCCATTCCTGTCGTCATTGCCAATTATTGCACTTCTTGTTCGAACGCCTTCTCGAACAGCCACGTCTTTAGTTTCTTGCGGAATATCATAAGGGAGGGCGCCAGTCTGATGTCCACGGGAAGGGTGTTCCACAGCCGAGGAGCCACCACCGAGAAGGCCCTGTCTCTCGTCCCCGCCAGGCGTGCCTGTGAGGCAGGCGGGATCGAGAGCAGGGCCTCCCCGGACGATCTCAAAGTCCTTGTGGGCTCATAGGCCGAGATGCGGTCAGATAGGTATCTTGGGCCGGAACCATTTAGGGCTTTATAGGCCAACGCCAGCACCTTGAATTGAGCCCGGTAGCAAATCTTTGATTATAGGTGAACTATAAATCCCAGCAACTACAACTCCCAAATGACAAAATCATAATTTTTGAGTGATGGTCACTCCTTGTGTAGTGAGACGTTTTATTGCCAAATTTGGTGTGATTTCGTTCATTGGTTCTTTTGTTTTTAAGGTACTCGTTATGCACAGAGCATTTTTTTATATATAGATAGATTGTATTGTACTATATTATTAAATCACAACACAGTATATTATACTAATAGTATTATATAATATATTGCATTATATTATAAGTTGTAGTATTTATATATTACATTATTAATATTATATATATTAGAAATATTGTATTACAATATAATATATATCTTGAGGGTCTCTTGAGTATTCAATTTGACATCCTTCCATATGGACATTAGGCTCTTATTGATGCAGCTGAGACTGATATTGGCCTTTTAAGCTGCTGCATCACACTCTTGGCTCATGTCCCTACATGCATCTCTGCATTTCATTTCTTTGGTTGTCCATTCCTTTCTGGAACCTACCTAAGACGCGTGTCACGCCCAGAGTGAGCCTCTCCAGGTAGGGCTTGATGCTGCTGGAGGCCTGCAAGCTCTTCTCCTCCTCCATCCTCCTCTCCTAACCACCTGCATAACAGTCCCAAACAGCGCGAAAGCCTAAAGCGGGGGCTTTTTGCTCCCTCTCTCTCCCCGTAGGAGACAGACTCTTTCCTAGCTCACTCCTCCCCCCCCGCCCTTTTTGCCCGCCTCTTCCTGATTGGCTGGTTCCTCCGGCTCGGTGTCGTATCTGGGTAAAGCTCAGTGTCGGCCAGCCAATGAGAGGCGAGGAATGGGCCCGGTGGGCGTGGCCGGGCGGAGGGACGCTGGGAGTGGCGGTTGTTTCAAGATGGCGGATGTGGCCCCGGAAGCGGCGCCTTTTTGGAGTCGGGACCGTATCCTTCTCACTTTGGGCGGCTTTTGGGGGGCGCGGGGCGGGGAAAGGGAGGCCGGGCGAGCGGTAGGTGGGGGTAATTATCACAGGCGTGTACAGGGCGCCTCTGAGCATGTACAGAGTGCCTTCTGTGTCCCACTGGAGTCCCTCAGGAGGCGGATTCGCCGCCTGACAGTGCCGAGGGGACAGGCTTTGTAGGCCTCAAGCCGAATATCACTCAACAGGGTGTTGCAGCAGCTAAAAAGGCCAATGCGATTCTATCTGGGATCAATAGAGGCCTGTATACTTCTGCATAGAATCCTAGAGTTGGAAGGGACCACATTGGCCATCTAGTCCAACCCCCTACCATGCAGGAAAAGCACCATCAAAGCACCCCTGGCAGATGGCCATCCAGTCTCTGTTTTAAAGCCTCCAAGAAAGGAGCTTCCACCACACTCTGAGGCAGAGAGTTCCACTGCTGGACATCTCTCACAGTCAGGAAGTTCATAGAATCAAAGAGTTGGAAGAGACCTCATGGACCATCTAGTCCAACCCCCTACCACGCAGGAAAAGCACCATCAAAGCACCCCTGGCAGATGGCCATCCAGTCTCTGTTTTAAAGCCTCCAAGAAAGGAGCTTCCACCACACTCTGAGGCAGAGAGTTCCACTGCTGGACATCTCTCACAGTCAGGAAGTTCATAGAATCAAAGAGTTGGAAGAGACCTCATGGACCATCTAGTCCAACCCCCTACCATGCAGGAAAAGCACCATGAAAGCACCCCTGGCAGATGGCCACCCAGTCTCTGTTTTAAAGCCTTCAACCACACTCTGAGGCAGAGAGTTCCACTGCTGAACAGCTCTCACAGTCAGGAAGTTCTTCCCAATGTTCAGATGGAATCTCCTTTCTTGTAGTCTGAAGCCATTGTTCCCTTGCATCCTTGTCTCCAGGGAAGCAGAAAGGAAGCTTGCTCCCTCCTCCCTATGACTTCCCCTCACCTCTTTATCCATGGCTCTCATCATGTCTCCTCTCATCCTTCTCTTCTGAATCATAGAATCATAGAATCAAATAGTTGGAAGAGACCTCATGGGCCATCCAGTCCAACCCCCTGCCAAGAAGCAGGAATATTGCATTCAAATCACCCCTGACAGATGGCCATCCAGCCTCTGTTTAAAAGCTTCCAAAGAAGGAGCCTCCACCACACTCCGGGGCAGAGAGTTCCACTGCTGAACAGCTCTCACAGCCAGGAAGTTCTTCCTAATGTTCAGATGGAATCTCCTTTCTTGTAGTTTGAAGCCATTGTTCCACATCTTAATCCCCAGGGCAACAGAAAACAAGTTCGCTCCCTCCTCCCTGTGACTTCCTCTCACATATTGTATACATGGCTATGATGTCTCCACTCAGCCTTCTCTATCATAGAATCCTAGAATCAAAGAGTTGGAAGAGACCTCCTGGGCCATCCAGTCCAACCCCATTCTGCCAAGAAGCAGGAATATTGCATTCAAATCACCCCTGACAGATGGCCACCCAGCCTCTCTTTAAAAGCTTCCAAAGAAGGAGCCTCCACCACACTCCGGGGCAGAGAGTTCCACTGCTGAACGGCTCTCACAGTCAGGAAGTTCTTCCTCATGTTCAGATGGAATCTCCTCTCTTGTAGTTTGAAGCCATTGTTCCATTGCGTCCTAGTCTCCAGGAAGCAGAAAACAAGCTTGCTCCCTCCTCCCTGTGGCTTCCTCTCACATATTTATACATGGCTATCATATCTCCTGCCAGCCTTCTCTTCTTCAGGCTAAACATGCCCAGCTCCTTAAGCCGCTCCTCATAGGGCTTGTTCTCCAGACCCTTGATCATTTTAGTCACCCTCCTCTGGACACATTCCAGCTTGTCAATATCTCTCTTGAATTGTGGTGCCCAGAATTGGGCACAATATTCCAGGTGTGGTCTAACCAAGACAGAATAGAGGGGTATCATGGTGCTGAAGAACAGTTCTACTGATATTCTGGACCGCATTCCACATGGATATTCAATCCTGAAAGCCACAAATCTTTTGAGCCTGCAAGATTTGAAGAATTGCGGTGCCCAGAATTGGACACAATATTCCAGGTGTGGTCTAAGCAGAGCAGAATAGAGGGGTAACATGACTCCCCTAGATCTAGACACTAGGCTCCTATTGATGCAGGCCAAAATCCCATTGGCTTTTTTTTTTTTCCGTAAGATGACATTGTTGGCTCATGTTTAACTTGTTGTCCACGAGGATGCCAAAATCTTTCTCACGCGTCATACTGTCGCACCAGGCATCGTACAAATACCTCGTATGGTCAGGAAGTTTTTCCTAATGTACAAGTGGAATCTCCTTTCCTGTCATTTGAACCCATGGCTCCTAGTACAGTTTAAAAGACAACCATGATGTATTTTCCCTGATCTTCAAATGTCGAACTTTGCATCTAATCATGACCACGTCTCTTTTTACAAACCTACACGATCCCTTCGATCTTCCCGATAGTTCCTTCTCTCGCTCCCATCGCAAATGCGACTTGCGGGGACAAGGGAGAGGGCCTTCTCTGTGGTGGCCTCTCAGCTCTGGAACTCGCTCCCCAGAGAAATTAGGCAAGCCCCCACCCTGGCAATCTTTAGAAAGAGTCTGAAAACCTGGCTATTCCAGTGTGCCTTCAATGAATGAACAATAATCCCTGATCTTGACTAAACCCTACATAAAATATCATTGGAAGCACTTTATCTTCTAGTGCAATTAACTTTACTTTCATCCCTCTGATTCTCTGTCTTGATACACTACATGGCCTGCTTACCCAATGTTTTAAACTTTTAATCCTTGAAATTTGTCCTGCCCAATTCCTGTGATTTTATATTGTTTGATGTGTTCATTTATATTGTTTTTGTATTTATTTGTATTATATTTTACTGTTTGCATTTTATGTTGTATATTTGCTGGACTGTTGGGATTGGCCTTATGTAAGCCGCCCCGTGTCCCCTTGGGGAGATGGTGGTGGGGTATAAAAACGTTTTATTATTATTATAATCCTTGATCTTTGGGATTTCCACGCTTAGAGGGGAAACTCCTTGGCAACTGTGGATTTCTTTCCATCAGCCCTTCCCTGTCATTTGAACCCATTGCTCCTAGTCCTAGTTTCAAGGGCAGGAGAAAACAAGCCTGCTCCCTCTTCCTTATGGCACCCTTTCACATTTCTATATGTGACTCTCATGTCTCCTCTCAACCTTCTCTTCAGCAGGCTAATCAGACCCAGCTCTTTAAGACGCTCCTCAGAGGGATTCATGGTCTCCAGACCTTTGATCCTTTTAGTTTCCCTCCTCCTCTGGGCACCTTCCAGCTTGTCAATATCTCTTTTAAACTGTACCCAGAACCGGACATAGTACTCCAGGTAAAGAGATCTAAACAAAGTAGATTACAAGGGCACCATGACTTCTCTTGATTTGGACACTATGCTCCTTTGGATGCAGCCCAAAATCCTATTGGCTTTTTAAGCTGCTGCATCACACTCCTGGCTCATGTTCAGCCTGTTGTCCATGTAGACTCCAAGATCTTTCTCACAGGGACTGTTGTCAAGCCAGGCATCACCTATCCTGTTCAGCAGTGGAACTTTCTGCCCCAGAGTGTGGTGGAGGCTCCTTCTTTGGAGGCTTTTAAACAGAGGCTGGATGGCCATCTGTTAGGGGTGCTTTGAATACAATTTTCTTGCTTCTTGGCAGAATGAGGTTGGATTGGATGTCCCACAAGGTCTCTTCCAACTCAATGATACTATGATTCTAGAAGTTGATGAGCTGATGTTGGATGGCTGTCTGTTGGGGGAGCTTTGATTGTGCTTTCCTCTATGGAAGAAAAGGGCTTAACTAATTGGCCCTTCTGGTCTATTCCAACTCTATCGTTATAGGAGAATGGAGTGGGGTTGCAGCTTCCAATATTATATAAAATGCATTGTGAGTTGCCTGGGCTGTATGGCCATCTTTCAGAGGCCTTCTCTCCTGATGTTTCGGCTGCATCGGTGGCAGACATTCTCAGAGGTTGTGAGATCTGTTTGAAACTAGGAAAATGGGGTTTATATATCTGTGCAATGTCCAGGGTGAGAGAAAGAACTCTTGTCTGTTTGAGGTAGGTGTGAATATTTCAATTGGCCACTTTGTTTAGCATTTAATGGCCTAGCAGTTTCAAGGTATACCTTCTTACTGCCCGGGAATTCTTTGTTGAGAGATGATTAGCTGGCCCTGATTATTTCTTGTCTGGAATTCCCCTATTTTTGAGTGTTGTTCTTTATATACTGTTATGATTTTAGTGTTTTTTTAATACCAGCAGCTGGATTTTGTTCATTTTCATGGTTTCTTCCATGATGAACACTTGTGCCGAAAGTACTTTGGGTTTTGGATCCCCACCCGCCGGATTTTGAGATACCCTTGTTTGCATACAGGCAATATCTTCAAAGTATTGACAAGCTGAAAGGTGTCCAGGGAAGGAAGACCAGAATGGTCGAGGGTCTGGAAGCCATGAATCCTTCTGAGGAGTAGCTGAGGGAGATACATGTCTTCAGCTTGGAGAGGAGACGGCTGAAAGGGGACTTGGGAGCCATGTTTAAATATTGGAAAGGAAGTGACATTGAGGAGGAAGGGGCAAAGCTTGTTTTCTGCTGCTGTAGAGACTACGGCACAGTGGAGCAATGGATTGAAATGGCAGGAAAAGAGATTCCACTGAAACGTTAGGAAGAACTTCCTGACTGTAAGAGCTGTTCAGCAGTGGCACCCTCTGCCTCGGAGTGTGGTGGAAACTTCTTTGGAGGCTTTTAAATAGAGGGTGGATGGCCATCTGTCAGGGGTGCTTTGTTTGTGCTTTTTCTGTATGTTAGGGGATTGGACTGGTTATCTCTGGTTATCTCTTACAATGCTATATTCTGTGATTCTGTGAGATCTTCAAAAGAGAAAGATGGGTGTGTGTGGTACATAGTTTAGATCTGTATCTCGGCGTTATAAGAGATGCTTATAAAAGTTCTAAATTGGG